TACTTTGCAAAGTGCAATTATAATGGTTAGATAGAATGCTTTAACATAAATAATATATATATAAAACGTTACGACATACCTAATGGGAACGCCCTTAGCGTTTCCCATCGATACGCCTGTAAAAAGGTAGTTGCTCTTTTGTCTCCACCACAGAGGAGAACTAAATTGGGTCTCAACTCACAGGTCTGCCGTCTGTTCTAACTACGCAATGAGTATAGTGCAACAGTAGATATTTTCTGGAGACTCGATAACTGGCCTCTGCAAAGCAATCCTTAGCAAGTAAACTACTCGTAGCAGTGTTTTTAGCACTAATTGCAAAAAATCTTTACTAACAGTAACATTAGCATCCCAATTATCATTTTTTCGTTAAACTAATAATATGTTTATTGCTCCACAAAAACACGCACAGAAGGTTCTCAGTTATTTAAGATACAGTTACTGGTTTTTTTAAGGAGCTGGTGCTTGTCAAAGGCCTGTATGTACTACAAGTAGATATTACTTTTTGTTCTCGTCCTCAAATTTGTAACATTAAAAAGTAGGTACAGTTGTAAAGTTCACTCTGTTCAGTCAACAAAACCAACATTATAAGTTCGGATAGATTAAAAAGAATGAATGAAACTCTTGTGTTTGTCCTATTTATTGAACATTATACAAAGAATTGTGTTGTCGACTTGACACAATTTCCAATGAATCATTGCTGTATCAATAAACAAAACAGATAAGATACAAAATAAAGAAAGTCCCTTGAATTCCACAAAGAAATAACTTCAATCGGGTAAGAGTTTTTTGAGTTCTATTAGCTCCTTGAGGGTTGCGTTAGGAAACAAAGTCCACAAACATTCGGCTTTCTCATAATTATGTTTAAACAATTCAGCCATTGTCTTCCCTTCATCGTTCTTTATCTTCGCAAATATCAAAACAGACTTTAGTTTAGTTTTCTTCAAATGTAATTTTCTCAAAGAACATATCAAGGGCCAAAATGAGAATTGATCATAATGATCTTGACTTCCAGACACTGCCGATAAGTACATTCGACACTTTTCTTCGTCTTTGTTGTTCCACGTGAGGCCCAACACATTTGCTTCGCTCGAATTGATTGTAGGGAATCGGTGTCGTTCATCGAAGACGTAGGCGGCGACCAAACCGCAGAGTCTATAATATGTAAACTCGAGTTCACCTACAACGGCGTTTTTCTCGGCGTTCTTGACGATCAGAGGCTCGCTGTAACAAAAAGAATTATTAAGCGTAGGTTCAACACAATCTAGCGCGCCCGTGGCGTTTAAAAAGCGACATCAAATAACGGACCTGCCACGAGGCATAGACACTTTCACAGAAAGTATGACGTCGCTTACCACCATGCGTAGGACTTGTTCGTCTGGTCCTTAGAGTATGAAAAAAATATTTTCATTTCAATAATATACCGTCATTTGATAGCATAGAAAAAAACTCCGTACGTCAGTCGGCTAAATTTGAAAACGTCGTAACTCTGTTTTTGGACGAAATACCTTTTTTCCACTTCAAGGGGATTCGCTCTGGGTCTTTTGGAGGGAAAAGTGTCATTTTTATTTTGACTTTCAATTATTTTGCGAAATCTAGTTTAAAGTGGAATAGGATAGTGCTATTGTGCCTTAATCGAAGATTAAAACGCGAAATTATACGAATCTCCAACTAAAATACCCATATCGGCCCGCTCTAAGGCATCCCGAGTCAATCCGGCACGCCGCCTCAATTGCCTATCTTATTTGTGGCGGCCATATTTACAGAAACATAATTAAACGAAGACATGGCTCAAAGGACTTGTGTCCAAGCCAAAATTATTAATAAAAAGAAAATAAAAATCCACTTCAAGGGCAATATTGGGTAAATAAACCTTATAATATAATTTTTCCACTCCTGTAGGTACTTTAATACATATCACAAAAGCACTCTTTTTACTTCAGAATGAAAATTCTATTGTCTATGGTGCTTGCTACTGAACTGAAAAATTTGATTTTTGTTTTGTACATGGAACTAATAGATCTAGTCGGGTTTACATAATGTCTGACATGTCGTGCCGCGACGTGTCAAAATGTCGCTACGATCGGTTTCATAGCACAGCACAAGCCGTCATGTCAGATTACGACACACTAATATAAATCTAACCCATTGACTTACAAATAAGTGGACGACGGGTCTAATACAAAAACCACGAAAAAAATGTCCCAAGTCAACCTATTCGAAATTTAAATTGTAATGTCATCGCAGTATCCCGCTGTCAGTAGAACAAATGAAGACTAAAGCGGAGTGTCGCGCTCTGTATACGATTTTAGCGCCTTACAAGTGCGGACACTTTTTAGCGCGGACCCGACGTCCATATAATTGTAAGTCAATGATCTAACCCCAATAAATGTATGAAACCGGTACCGTTCCGAGGCGTCACGACATGACACGTCAGACATTGTAAATCTGGCTTGTGTTTCAAGAATAGAACATTGTGTTTTTGCTAATTAAAATATTAAATATGACGCTATTCAAAATTTCACTGCCGCCTGGTTGGTTAAATTGGCGTAAAGGTCTCGCAACCAGGCGTTACCCTTTATAAAAAAAATTGTTGGCTAAAATATAAGCGGTATTTAGCCGCTTTGGTTTTTTTGTTTTGCAGCGTTGGTTAGAATATAAAATACACATTAAATTTTGGTTGTGTTCATTACTATATTTACTCGTAGAAAAGTATTGTATGCAATCATTACAAAATTAAGTCTTACAATCTCGTATTCATTACTTGGGCCACTCGGCGAAGCAACCATTGCATAAAATACTATAGTATATACTATAGTAGACCTACTTTTAGTTTTAAATAAATGTATAATCATAGATTATCATATAATTATTTATAGGAATTCTGTTTTATATGCCTAATCAAAAGTTCACTGGAGGAGTACATAAGGCTTAACGCCAAATACACCTTGAGGGTTGGAGTTCCGCGACAACGTGAATTTTAATTAGTGTTATATATCGGCGATTCTGCGGCCCATTACCTGACACCAGCTCCCGTAGTGTGCAGCCTCGATAAAGCTATTATATCCTCATTTAGCTGTCAAATTCGAGTAATAAAATTTTATCACAATAGCGGACATGGCGAGCACCGTGACGTCACATTTTTTATGTCATCGCGAGTGACCAATGACTGCAGAAGATTAATATAGTGCCAAAAATGACTGCAAAGTCACAGTTGATTTTAAACATTTGCACAGTAATTTTATCAACGTAAAAATTGAGCGCGACAAACGAGATGAAAAATCATTTTTTGTTTCATGGTTTTCGCGGCGATGATTAACCGACAAAGATAACTATAACGCAATTTCATATCGTTGTCCTTGTTCTTCAAAATGTAACAATAGTTCATTATCAAATAAGCAAAGTTAGATTTATCAACTGAATCAAATATTGTCACAGGGAGGTTTATCACAAATATTCTGCCATGCTACGGCCACAGATTGCGCCACACGTCGCCGACAAGTGCAATTCGTGTAGATTAATTATTTAGTTTATTATATTGTACGTATTATATGGGTCATGTGGCCTGAAACTGACTAAATAAAATTTTTTATCATCCTTTATTTCTTTTACTAAATAAAAAAGTAAAATAAATAAATGTAACTTATTCTAGTCTTATTTTACTGTGTCGACACTAGAATCAATAATTTGCTTTTATTAGTTTTCTAACGGTTCATTTTATTACAAAATCACTTGGCAGACCACTTAATTACTTCCAAACTATAGTTCTTTTTTAAACATCTTTTAAGAAACAGGTGATAGCATCAACATTAGTCTTGTGTCGTTATTCTATCAATATTACTAATTAATAGCACTTAAGTGCTTCGTTTTTTAATAACCAGTAATTGCGTTTTCTATTTGTGTTACATTAAGTACGTATATTTTCCATCAACTATAGGCGCTTGATGTCTATAAATGATTTTTGGACTTACCCCCTGATTTTAAATCCATTCAGCTTCAGAGTAGCTCCTGGTTCCATTTGTTTCAACTTATTTTTCAAATTAAAGCTATTCGCTAAAATGTTGTCCAAATTCTGCTTATTGAGAAGAAACTCTGAATCTTTGTATGTACGGTAGAAATCCTTCCCTCTGAACGTGTAAGGTTTTGCCGATGCTGAATCGTTGTCACCCGAGTTGAACGAAAATCTCTCCATATCTGTGAAAATATCACTGGTTGATTACACAGGCACCTAATTCATTTGTTGCACTGAAAATGTGCAATTTATAAAAAAACATATCGAATTGTTAGTTTTTCGAGATTGCTGCGCATTGGAAACGAAAATATTCTTTTTTGATCTAAACCGCGTATTTGCTTTTTCAAAACAAACCTTTCTTTCGCTCTCTTCATAGGTCCCATGATCACGACTTTTGACAAAACAAATAGATATCTCAGCTATTTTTATAAACAGCCATATTTATTTACTATTTTTTTATATTAAATAAAGAAACAAAAAACAGAATTCGAAAAAACATAAAACGAATTTTGTGCAAAAAAAAAAGAAGAAACAAAATACAAAAGAAGAAACAAAATACAAAATAAAAACAAAACCAGTCCAAAAATTAAGTTTGCATAGTGTTCATTGCAATATAATTCCTCTTAAAAAAAGTAAGTTTGCTTTCTAAATTCTCAATATTACAAGAATATTCAAGTCTTGAATATAAAGTACCAAAAATTTATAATTATCGAACAACACAAGCAATGATGGGCAGCTATGAAATTTAAAACAAATAACGTATACGGTAAAAGAACTAAGGACTATTTAATTCCAACATTGTTTAACTGTCTTCCGTCACACTTAAAAAACATTAAAGGTAGTAAAAGTCCGTTAAAAACTAAATAAAAAAATATTTGTTCGATACAATGCAGGTAAATATTGAAAAACTGTAATGTTGGGAACTGGATGTAATGTTTATGTGACTGTAATATTAAGCGTAGCAACCAAACTTTTCCGATAAACTTTCATGAAGTTTGAGAAAACCTTATTTTATATGCAAAAAAGTTATTGAAAGGAGAAATAAATTAAAAAAAAAATCATTTCCAATAAAACACGTACGTATACTTTTTTATAACTACGCTTTTTTGTTGTTGGTTATTTTATGTAGCGTTTCTTTATGCGGTTTCTTCATATATACAGATTAAAAAAAACTCCTTACTGACCATGGCTGTAATGGAAAGAAAGAAGGCCCGTGGGTTTTATTTGGGGCCTTACGTCAAATTAACCACCATGCAATCATACCATTTACGAGCAAGTGTGATGAAAATGAATATTATGGCAGTAAAATATCCTGATATTCAATGAAAAGAAATATTATTATTACTAGTTACGTAAATATTAAAATATTTAATTACCTATCGTTGTCAGTTCCTCCGAGGATGCCTTAGGAAACTCCGACCACAACCTCACTACTTCATCGTTATTATCCATAAACAACTCCACCAAAGTTTTTCCATCATCATTCTTTGTATTCCCAATTATTGTGACTGACTGTGCGCTAGTTTTCTTCAAATGTAGTTTCCTCAAAGCACATATCATGGGATAATATAAGAATTGGTCATAGAAGTCCTGACTTCCAGACACTGAAGATAAGTACAAACGACATAGTTTTTCGTTGTTTTTCTCCCATGTGAGCCCCAACATATTTGCTTCGCTCGAATATATTACGGGAAATCGGTACCGGTTCTCGAAGACGTAGGCAGCGACCAAACCGCAGAGTCTATAAAATGTAAACTCTAGTTCGCCTACAATGGCTTTATTTCCGGCTTTCTTGAGGACAAGAGGTTCGCTGCAACAAGATGTATGTTAAGTACATTCGCAGTAGCTTAAGGTGTCAAAATTTGCCATTCACGAGGTTTAAAAAAATAGTGAAACAAAAACTTTATACTAAAGGTTTTGTTATACAGCTTCTGCGTACTTGGTGACAAAAATCCGTGGTAGTGACCCGTTTAGCTCTAGCAGGTAGTCTCGATCTAAGATGTTTAAATTAAATGTTGCAATGATAAATGTACTCAAATGTATGTTTACAAAAAGCAACCCCTAGAGTATTGTGCTCATTCTTCTCAGGGGAATCTGCCTTCAAATTGTAATTGTAATGTTTGTGTAATCAGTAGTTTAGTTTTTTCCTCCGTTTTCGTGTGGTCAAACAAAATCGAGTAAATGTATAACAAACAGACGAACGATATTGTATGTTTGGTCGATCGATATGTGTAATCAGATAAAATCGAGTAAATGTGTAAGAATCAGAAAAACGATATTGCATTTTTGGTTGATCGATATGTGTAGGTAATAAGATAAAATGGAGTCAATATTTATGAAGCAGACGAACGATATCGTATTTTTTGTCGACTGACATGTGTAATCAGACGAAATCGAGTAAATGTGTAAGAAGCAAACGAACGATATCGTAATATTTTGTAGATCGAAACAAGCCGATCGTCAAAAAATCGAGCAATTCTATTGGCACCTTTACATCGTATCGACTATATCTACGTAGATACTCTAAATATCGCAATTATGTACTTTCGTAAAGGTTATTAAATAAAAAATTTAATTCGAACTAATGAATTTCGATCTTAACAATTACAGTCGCAAAAATGCACATGTAATTTAATGTTTTTCGAAATAAATAGCCGTATAATTTTCTACAAGTTTAATTAATCACAAAAGTGCTTGTCAACTTGTTACCTAATGACTTCCAAGAAATAGTTCCGTTTTAATATTTTTTTTAAGAAACAACATTAACATAAGTTTCGTGTCTGTTGGCGATAGATCTTTTTTTATACACATAGATTTTTTTTACTTCTTTTTTTATGTAATTTTTATGCTTGGAATTAGTTTTGTTTTTTTATATTTTGAATTACATTTTTGTTTCGTTTTTTTTGGTTCGCGGTGAAGTGTGTTCTGTGTTTTAAATTAATTATAAAATTTTCATCAAAATAAGTATTTTTACTCCGCCGCTGCCTGCTACTCAGTCCACTGCTCATCCTATCGTTATTAGTGTCATTATTAATATTATCTTAAGTTTATTTTCGAATGATTAGTAATTACATCTTGACTTGTGTTACACGCGCATATTTTTGTACCTACGATTGAAGCATGACATATTTTTTATTTAATTTTCTTGACTCACTCGTTGATCATGAATTGTTCCACTGCCATAGTAGCCCCTGGTTTTAGCTGTTGAAACTGATTTTTCAATTTAAAGCTGTTCCCCAGAATATTGTCTAAATTCTCTTTATTGTGAAGGAATTCGGCATTTTTGTAAGTATCGTAGAACTGTCTTCCGTTGAACTTTGCAAGCTGTGCCGGTGCTGGACTAGCGTTAACCGAGGGGAACGAAAAAGTCTCCATATCTGTGAAAATATCACTCGTTATACGTAATTGATTCATTGCATTGAAAACCTATAACTTACAAAAAAGTTATAGGTTTTCAATGGTTATAAATATTTACAACTATTATGAATCTGAATTTGATTGATGAATTTTGGTACATCATTATATACACAAACATAGCATAAACATTCAGTAGCAGTAGAAACCTTGTGAAAGAGCCTCTCTAGGGAAGTACTGCCACCTTACCTATTTCTGCTGCCAAGCAGTAATGTTAGCATTACCGTGTTCCGGTTTTGAGGGGTAAGGGTGCTGGTGAAATTACAGGTACATGGGACTTGTCAACTTATGTCTCAGGGTGCCGGGCGCAGTGGCAGTGCCCCTCAGACCTCAGAGACTTATGTCTCAGTCATATTTATGAAAGTATGTTCCAGCAAACTTTTAAGTACAAACCGAAAAAATAAATAACTGATCAAAAGAAAAGATGTTGTAAATTTTAGACGCATTTTATAAGTTTTTGTTTGGGATAAGTGTTGTGCATTTGTTTTTTTTGTCTCCCTTCAAACATTTATTTTATTCTTTTTTTATTCCGCTTTTTACGATTATTATATTTTCTTTTCTTTTTTACTTTAGCGCTCCTCGAATAGCTTAATTCACAGGCCTTGAATAATATTGTTTCATGTCATATGGCTAATTTTGTTTTCTTGTTATTTAAACTTATTATTTATATAATTACCTGTTACACAAACGTGAGACCGTAGCTCCCGCTAGGGAGGTCCTGGCTGAAAATCAGTGCTGTATAAATTTAGTTTGCACAACACTGATTTTCAGCATATGCTGTGCAAACTTAGTTATTTAGATCGATAATTTTTCGATCTTTGTATTAATAATTATAACAAACTAGTGGAGTAATTTTACCAAAAAAATAATTGAATATCAATTCAATAAAAATTTTAAAAATACAGTGAATAGCGACATCTCTGGCCAGGACTGGTAGCTGTAAAGGTACTAACTGGGTGATAAATCTTTCATAGATTTCTCATAGTTGGCGCTACGACTAAAAAGTCGTTGAAAAACCAAATACAAAGACTAAAAGTCCGCTGGTTCGTTCCGTGGCTTAGTTGGTATAGCGTCTGGCACTGTAAGCTAGAAGACGTCGGTTCGATCCGGCCGGATCGAAGGATTATCTGAGTGTTCGATCTTTGCATTAATAATTATAACAACGTCGCTGGAAAGCGATAATGCTGTAACCCGCAATACCTCCAAAAATGCTTTTTTTGCATACTCTTGATCATTTTTTTTCTGCTTCGATTGGTCTGGGTCTCATGACTCTAAAATGAAAAATAAACTCTGGACACATTGACTTACAAATAAATGGACGACGGGTCTAATACAAAAACCACGAGAAAAATGTCCCAAGTCAACCGATTTAAGCGTAGTGACATGTCAAGGAATATGAAAAAGCTAAAACGTTGAATTTAAATTGTAATGTCATCGCAGTACTGTCTAATTTTGCTTGCTTCGCTGTCAGTCGAACAAACGAAGACTAGAGCGTGAATGACGCTCTGTATACGATTTTAACGCCCTGTAAGTTCGGACACTTTTTAGCGCGGACCCGACGTCCATATAATTGTAAGTCAATGTCTGGACAGCATAATTTTTTTAACGCTTTGTTCTGCTTAAGGAATTTTAAAACGATTTAACCCACATAAAATCCAGTGTTTTTTTTGCGAAATGTGCGTTACATCAAGAACACGTAATTAAATTTTTCTGTGCCTCTGATTACAGCATTTTTGCGTACCCTAATATTAAAATTGTACCACTTACAGCGTTTAATTGGGTGTTGTTAAGTACGAACAATCTGATTTACATCGTTTTAAAGGTCCGAGTTTTTACAGTGTAATGAGTGTTACGATATTTAAAAACAAATATAAACAAGTATTGAACTTCTCCTTACGTCATTTTATCCTTCGTTTAATGACACCGAGACTTATCTTTAGAGACTACGCATGCAGCAGTGAGGGTACATAAGTATGTTGTCCGAGGTTTTTTATAGCAAAATCGAAAGCATTTTTTCCCTTATAATTGAAAATATTATTTCTTTTCCTTATTTTATTTTATTGCTTATTATATTTAATCTCATTTATTTGTTCAGACCATAAGAGTCAGAAATTAATGAATTACGTATGTATGTATGACTCGTAAATACGATGCATTTAAATTATAGCGAAATTTACTAAAATCACCATGATTAAAGTGTTTTTATTCGACTAAGAAATCCTACAAAGTTCAAAGTTATTGTGATATGTAGGTATGTTAATATGTTTACGTGATTATTATTCACTAAGTCACTAAAACGGATTTAGATACAATATTGCAAACAAGCCATTTTCTGGATACGTACATATATCTCTCGCCGTTCTCCTATCGGGGCAGGCAGAGAAATGTTTATACCTGTAGTTCGTTCCCGTCTTTTTATGAAGTTTTTTCTCGCTAATAACAGTAGCCATCACCATTTATTCAGCATGAATCCTGGCACAGCCAATAGCACAGATTGTGTCATAATAGTTACTATCAATGGTCTAAATGCATACCACAAAGTTTAAGTAATAATAAAATAGATACACGTATAAAATGTATTCTACACATGCTAACAAATATAAAAACACAAGGTGAGATAAAAGAGAACAAAGAAACAATTTTCTGTCGACGAACGCTATGCTACTAGATCAAAACAATCTAAGACTGAAATTTTAAATAACAAATTACTACGGCCATCAGACGGTTCTAATAAATTGTAATCTAATCCAATGTGCAACAATCTTCCACCGAGAATAATTTAACCAGATTCAACGCCACAAACTGCACCAAGAAGCACATGTCACCAAAAGATATGCAGCACGGCAAACTCAAAACTAGTCGTTACAAAAGTTTATGATCTGATGCCCACGTTTAGAAATCCTGAGAAAAATTTATTCAAAGTATCTACTGAAATGATCATAGAAAATGTGTACTTTCAAAAAGACCAATAATACAGAAGCTGGTTGCAGTTACCGGACCTGACCAGTTACAATCCGAAAATATGAATGGTGTACAAACAGGTTGCAGTTCATGGAATATGACAAAGAATTACGACACCATTTAGAAGGTTTAATTATAATATTTTTTTTCAATTTTGAAGTCTGCTTAATGGATGAATATAGTTTGGTTTTAATTTAAATTATAATCACGATAAAATGTTTCTATATTTTTACTATTTTCGTTCATTATCTAGTGCCTACGGCGAATAGGGATAATTTTAACACGTAATAATTTTAAATCTTTAACATGTAGATAATCTTTTTCCTTGTACCAGGCAATAAACTAAAATAGAAAATATAAGAACAGAAAATGAAAAACTAATAATCAATAGTAAGATTAGTTGATGAAAATCGTTGATTATTAAAAAAAAGTTGTTGATTACTATTACTTTATGGAATTTAAGGAATTTATAATTCATCAGTTCTAAGAACGATGTAATATGGCACACAAAGTGTCAATGATTTTGTTTTATTGTGTTAAATCTCCGATATTGTAATTCGATTTATTTCATTGTTTTCATTGTGACCAAAGTCTTTTTCACAAATTGTGGTTCTTTTTAATAATAAACATTTTAAAAGTCATGTAAATTGAATGTGATTTTCTCTAACACCATTTTAATGTTACCTGCTTTGGTTTAAAGAATACTCTTACAGCAGTATTGAATTCCATACATCTTAAAGAAGTTAACATTTAAAGACCAAAAATGTGTTAAGGAACTCTAATTCATTTACATCACTCTTAGAATACCGTAAATTGACGGCATTAGTCGCACCTTCATACAAATTAACGAAACTTACAGCATTCTTTGGGGTTTAAATCTTAAAATCAAATTGTCGTAACCCACATAACCGTTGTTAGAAGTAGGACTTCAAATCCGGGAAGGACTGTACATTACCATCGCACGATTTGAGGGGGGTGGGGGGAAGGGGGGAGGGGACCCTTCGTGCAAAGTTTCAAAGTTAGGAAGTTAATAGTTTTAAAGAGATATTAATTTTTGAAAATTCGAAAAAAATAACCTCAAAAAATCATGTTTTCGCACCGAAGAGCGGGGTAAACCCCTCCCCCCGAACCCCTAGCGGGAAAAACCCACCCCCAGACCTCCTCCCCCTGTTCCCACTTCCTGTGTTATATGAGAAACTAAATTTAACTTAAAACCAGGCAAAAACGCAAAATCCTAATTGATGTATACATCAAACAGTAAACAACAACAAACAACATGGGGTCCTTTTTGGTTTCGTTATATTTTGTTCAAAAATAAAAGCTTACATACTAATTATAGTAAATTTTTATGTTAAATTTACAATTACGTATTAATTTGTGCTGTTTAATTCAATACTGCGAAAAATTCCTAACCTACAAAACCTGTTTCTTATCATTTATTTTCGAATATTTCAATAATTTTTATTATGAAAACTACGAGTTTCCTAAAGCTAATATTTTAGGATTAGACTGCTAACTATGTAATCTATTCACCATATTAATTTCAACTCTCAACTCGTGCGATGGTAATGTACAGTTGAGCCCAAATCCAAGTTTATTGTCAAGAAGTCCTATTTTTTATAGGTTTATTTGCTAAATTTAGCACAAAAAACTCGAACCGTTTCTGAGTTATGATTTTTTTTCGTTTTTGCAATTTTTGTTTTGGCTCCAGTGAAAAGTAGTGTTTTAGAGTGTTACAGCATTATCGCTTTCCAGTGACGACAAACTAGTAGAGTAATATTACAAAAGAATGATTGAATATAAATTCAATAAAAATTTAAAAAAGAAACATGACCTTAAAATTTAGACAAAATTCGCAAAAATCGACAATAAACTAGTTTAATATTGGGGGTAAAATACGTAGACATCGTTATATTTGCTTACCTTTCGTCATTACAAATGAATATAAAAATTTAGATCCAACTCAACTAAACAACTAAAAAAATATTTTTTTCACTTGCACACGTAGTTCTTAATAGACGCTGACTCTAAATGGCGGGCTGTTGGGGAATTACTGTACTATCGGAGCATGATTTGGTGCTGCCAGTTTAAAAAACAACTAGACATTTAGTAGGAAATCTAGAAGTCGTACGATTTAAACGGCGCGCGGCGGTACAATTTTGACGACTGTCCCCTAAGCAGTTACGTATTTGGCCGATAAGATTGTAAATAACCTTTCTTGAATTAAATAAACAAAGAAATTTTTTGCCAAGTTATTATCACCTTAACAACATGTGATTCTTTATCTTTTGAAGGAATAAAGTATGAGTAATCTACTAGTATCTTTATAATATACATGTATATCTTCTTGCTTATGATTACATCGAAGGAGTATTTGAAAATAAGTCTCAGTTTAATAACCGAATAACTTTATGTCAAAAGTGTTACGTACAAATTGTACAATTACACAATTCATAAAGGTAGGTTTCCATTTTGTCCTCCGCACATAGATAGAAATGGTCAATATATTAATAATAATAATATTTGATGAATTAATTGATTTAATTCAAATACGTTTATTCATGTGCGTGCGTGTTAGAGAAATACAAGCTTGGCCAGTCGTGCGCCTAGCAGTATGGATACCTCTGTGCACAACAGTTGCAGTACCGTCCAGAGCTTTAAATCGCAAAGACCTTGGCGCCCGTCACTCTGAGACGTAAGTTGACAAGCCCCACATTCCACAAGCCCCTTCAAAAGAGCAATGCAGTATTGCTCAGATTACATCTTGGCGGCAAAAATAGATAAGATGGCAGCACTTCTCTGGACGAATTCTTTCACAACAAGAAACTCAAACGGGAGTTTCTTAATTCGACTGTTTTAATTTTTTTTATGTTACGCGGCTACTGCGACATTTGTCAACCGAATTCGATGATTCTTTTTTTGTTTGAAGGGGGAACGTCAGAAGTGGTCCCATTCAATTTTGACGAAAATATTCCACCTCTAAGGGTGGAAAATTAGGGAATTAGTTAGGTTTATTCAATTTCACCCACTTTCCGTTAACCCATTACAATAAAACTTGGCAAATAGATGTAATTCCACAAATTATTGAGATTTCGTTTTCTTTTATAAAAAAAAATAAAAAAATATTTAAGTTGTGTTTGAAGCAATGTATGAAACGTTGTATATTTATGCCGTTTAGTTTATATGCTAGCTTTACGTATAATTTGCGAAGTTTGTTTGCTAAATATGCATATAATTAAGTACCAATGGGTATGGTATACAAATAAAATGGCTATTACTTAATTTACTATTAAAACTTGAACTTAAGATACTTACTTACCTCGTTATAATCAGTAAAATTTTATTTTAGTAAAAAACAAAAAGTTCTTTGTGCTTACTCCGATACACAACATTACACTAAGTATTTTAAAATGGTTCTAGAAGCACAACGTGTTTATATATCTCCGTTGTTGCACTGATAAAGAGTGATTGTACAATATCTAATTGAATTTAAGTTATATTTTTATATTATAAACGAAATAAGGTTCAATTTTGATCAGTACGATTGTAACAAAGAAGAGGACAAATATTTGCATACCGGCAAAAGAAAACAAGAGACAGAAATATTGTCAGGTGCAAAGGAGGAGAAACTATTGTGATGTTGTTTTTAAAAAGTGAGACAATATATTCCACTACTTTTAACCGACTTTAAAAACGGAGGACGTTCTCAAGTCGACTGTATTTCTTTTTGCGTGTATGTTACGGGATAACCATTGACTTACAATTATTTATTTGTAAGTCAATGGGGATAACTCTTTTTTTTATGTGTGAACCGACTTTGATCTTTTTTTGCTGAAAAGAGCGTACCTACTTCAGCATTGGTCTCATTTCAATTTGAAGAAAATATTCCACCTCTAAGGGTGGCATACTAGAGGATGTATCCCTACACCTTAATTAACTGAGTTTCTGCGTTTCTGAATTAGCAGCAGAAACTAAACCTATTAATTTTGGGTAAGTTGTGATGGTTTACAAAACTTATAAAAATTTGTAAACAGGACTTGCTAGATGTTGGTTTGAATCCAGCGGGATCGAAGGAATTTTCTAAGTGTTCAATCTTTGTATTAATCAATTAAAACAAACTACTTATTAAAGTAATTACACAAAAAAAATATTGAATGTCATGGTAAAATTAATTGACGGATGATGCTCTCGATGTTGTCGTTTGTAATACTCATAGCCTTTTTATTATTTTTGACAAACAACTAGTACCGGGATCACAAGATACTCGCATTTGGGCTCATTCGGGTTCCGTTGCTATATCTATATAGTATCTTTGAGAGATAAGTTTAAGGAAATTAATATTCTTACACTAGCGTCACAGTACATCTATGAAAATGTAATTTATCTTAAGAGGAATAGTAATCTCTTTATGAGAAATAGTACAGACATAACATTAATACGAGGAATAAAAATAAACCAGCTGTTCTTGAAAGTCGTCTTCACAAAGTGACAAATTCATTTAAAATGTATACTCTTCTATAACAAGATTCTGGTTGATATACAAAATTTACCATTCACGAGGTTTAAAACTATAGTGAAACAATACTTTATACTAAAGGTTATTATACAACTTCTGCGTACTTGCATGACAAAAATCCGTGGTAGTAACCCGTTTAGCTCATGGAGGTAGTCTCGATCTCTGATGTTTGAAAAAAAAAATATATTGTAAGTGTTGAATGTGTACAAATGTTATTTACAAAGAGCAACCCCTAGAGTTTCTTGCTCATTCTTCTCGGGGGAATCTGCCTTACGAATGAGCGGTAGAGTTTAACCAATATGACGATTTCAAGTATAATAATGCTTACCTATGAAATAAAGATTATTTTGGTATTGGTTTTGATTGCAACTTTAAACCCACCCCGGGTTCAGGTGCTACAAACCCTTTTTTTGTGCTACCAAGTGACGGGGCGAACAAATCGTGCTCTTGGTTATATGAAGATAGACGGCGCTGGCGCCTACTCGTATAGGAGGCTAAACACACTTCGAGTTGTTGAACCAGCGGAGTAAGTGAGTTCCAACTCCCTTTTGCGGCTAGGCCATTGCGCCATTTCTGCCTCGACTTGTCTGCCACCTTACCCGTTTCAATACTTCCCTGGACGAACTCTTTTAACAAGGAGGTATACTGCTAATAAAATGTAAGTATATTGCAGGCAAACAAAAAGCACTCTTCAGATTTGAGTACCGGAACTTTTTACTTCGATTGACATACGCCAACGACAGCCGCTGTTATAGCTTTCATATTTAGTTCACGGCATCTAGTTACCAGAAGACTGACAGCTACTTTAGTAGCAGTAGAGCTTCTTGTGAAAGATTTCGTCTAGGAATGTACCTTAGGTACCTTACCTACCGTACCTTACCTATTTCTGCCGGCAAGCATTACTGTGTTGTGGTCATAAAGACTTAGGGTGCTGGTGAAATTGCGGGAACATGGTGGCAATGCGATTGAAGCTCTGAGTGGTACTGCAACTGTTAATTACAGGCGTGTCGCTTACCATCAGGCTCACGTCTTGTTCGCCCCGTCACTTGATATCGTACAAAAATGTACTTCCTCCAAATAGGTAATGATCTGGGGAAATCATGCCAACATCCTGAGCACGAAGCCTAGGGCCCTCGATGAGATTAAATCTACAAATTTCCATTTCTTTTCTTCTTAATAAAACATATTTAGTATACTGTTATATATTTAACGTCATTTTTAATCGATGTATTGACATATTTAAGGATGAAATAGTAAATGTTTGCATAATTAAAATTATCAACTTGTTGGCCACCTCGGAAAGGGGTAGGTATTTATTTCTGTAGGTCTCTCACATAAAGAATCATAAGTGCCAAATACTAATTTTTACTACTGAGCGTTTTAAAGAGAATTAGGCTCTTAATTAGGCATTTACATTAAAATCAAAATAAAATATGTTAAATGAAAAATAAACGACGATATGATTTTCATTATTGTGTGATTTTTTTAATCAATGTTTGTTAAAATTAAACTAAACACTAAAAACTAAAACTAAATTCCAAAATATGGACTCACCTCCCACCTATGGATTTGTATAACATGAGGAATAAGAATGACTGCGTCTGTGGCCGAACGATTACCATCACAGACATATCTAGACATATGTCTGTGGTTACCGTGCTGAACTGCAGCGCAGAGGTCCCGGGTTTGATTCTCGGATCGGGAATAATATTTGTACGGCGGTAATTCGTGGTTGTTTATGTGTATCTGTGTGTCCATGACACTCGCGATACACGGGTTCCATAATGCTGGGCTATGAGTATGTGCGTTAGTGTCTTTATTAATGTGCTAAACTAGGGAATTCCCTGTATTATAAGTACTCCAGAAGCACCCAGATCAGAACCAATTTAGAAAAGTTTATTTCCCAAATTGGTCCTACCGGGAATCGAACCCGTGAACTCCACACCCAATTCCCACAGTGCAAACTGTTGGGCTACTGAGGACGACATATAAGTGGCATAATGTAACTTAATGGCTAAGTAGAATCTTTCAAATAACATTTCTTTATACTTCTAAAAACAATCTCCCATCACACTCGTTCGTAAACAAGTATAACAAAACACGGTCATTTGTCACAATTACCGACGGTGCGGAATAACTAGCACATCACATCGTAGCATTGCGAGATGGCCGAGACGGTCATCCGAAATAACGTGAAATAACCACTGTTCTTGTTAGCTATACATTTCGTGGGCGCTCATACATTTTTATGAGTTTAGAGTTCTGTCGGTGGAAGCCATAATTGTAACTTCCTTATCTAACAAAAAAGACAACCTCAAAAGTTTGTGGAATTACATCTACTTGCCAAGTTTTATTGATATCGGTTACAGGAAAGTACGCGAAACCGGATTCATCCCCTAGTTTGCCAGAATTATTGGCGAAATGTTTTATTAAAATTTAAATGGGACCAGAACTGAGGTGCCCTCTTTCCCAACAAAAAAAGAATCATCGAAATCGGTTTACAAATCGCGTAACGTACACACAAAAATACAAAAATAAAGTAGAACTGAGAACCTCATCCTTTTTTGAAGGCGGTTAAAAAGGTTGTATATGCGGCTTTAAGGCAAGATACTTCAGAAAAT